CCACACCCAGCCTGTTTGGGGGTTTTAAAAAATATGTTATTATTTTTATTTTATGTGTATGAGTGTGTTGTCTGCATGTATGTAAGTGCACCTGTGTCATGCAATGCCTGCAGAGGTCAGAAGAGAACATCAGATTCCCCTGAAACCGGAGTTATAGATGGTTGTTAGTTGCTACGTGGGTGCTGGGATTTGAACCTGGGTCCTCTGAAAGAGCAGCCAGTACTATTAACTGCTGAGCAAAATCTCCAGCCCCTGTTTTTGTTTTTTTTAAGATAGTCCCACTGAGTTGGCTAGGCTGATACTGAACTTGTATAGCCCAGGCAGGAAGGAACTTTTTCTTTCTTTCTTTCTTTCTTTCTTTCTTTCTTTCTTTCTTTCTTTCTTTCTTTCTTTCTTTCTTTCTTTCTTTCTTTCTTTCTTTCTTTCTCTTTCTTCCTTCCTTCCTTCCTTCCTTTCTTTCTCTCTTCTTTCTTTCCTTCTTCCTTCCTTTCTTTCTTAATTTCCTTTTAAAGGGTTTATTTTGTGTGTGCATGTGTGTATATGTGCATATATGTGCAGGTGTCTATGGAGGTCATAAGGGAGGCATTAGATCCCTTGAAGCCGGAGCTACAGGCATTTATCAGCAGCCTGATGTGGGTGTTGTGATTCTAACTCCAGTCCTCTGACAGAGCAGTAGCACTCTGTCAAGCCATCTCTCTAGTCCTGCATATTTAAAAAAAATGAAAACTTAATTGATTTATTGTATATGTGTGTGCATGTGTTTGAAGTACACATGTGGATGTCAGAGGATAACTTGTGGGAATTCGTTCTCTCCTTCCACTATGTGGGTTCCAGGGATGGAACTCAGGTGGTCAGATTCAGCAGCAAGTGTCTTTGCCTACTGAGTCATCTCACTAACCCAGGCCAGAACTTTCAGTCATTCTGCCTCAGCCTCCTGAGTAGCTGGGATTACAGGCCTGCACTATTAGGCCCAGTAGTGTTTTCTGAACATACCTTTTTGGTCCTTGGAGAGCTCAAGCGTGAGAGCTGGAGTGCGAGTGTGAGAGCACAAGTGTATGCATGCATATGAATACAGGCTATGAACCCCCTTGGTAGTTTGGGGGGAAACCTATGAGATCCTTCTCTGGATAATTTATTTTATTTTATTTTTTGTTTTGTTTTTTGAGACAAAGTTTCAGATAGCCTAAGTTGTGTTGAGGGTGGCCTTGACCTGATCCTCTTTGCCTCTATCTCCTGAATGCTAGTATTATAAGTGTGCCTCATCATGAATGTTTTTTAAATATTTTATTTATTATTTTGATTTTATGTATATGAGTGTATTGCTTGCGTGTGTGTAAGTGCACCCATGTTGTGCAATGCTCATGGAGGTCAGAAAAGGGTGTCAGAGCCCCTGGAACTGGAATTACGGATGGTTGTTAGCCACCATATGGGTGCTAGGTATTGAATCTGGGTCCTCTGCAAGGGCAGTCAGTACTCTTAACCGCTGAGCCATCTCTCCAGCTCCGATTGTGAATGTTTTTAAATTCATGAAACAAGATACTGAGGATTAAAAAGGAAACCAATTTCATTGAAATATAGGTACAGTCAAATAGCTTTTAGGGGCTCATAAACCCTAGATGAAGAACTTCTGACTGGCAATTAGTTAAGCATTGCTTTAGGGCTGTGTTGGGCAGTGTGGTGGTATGTCATACACATATGGCTATTGAGTATCGGTGACGAGGCTCTTCCTAAGACAGAGTGAAGTTTAAAATACATGCAGGATTTCAGAGGACTTAGTATAAAATATAAATTATCTCCATTTTTCCTATGAATTCTGTATTGATATGGTCATACTTTGGATATATTAAATGAAGTAAATATATTACTGAATTGATTGCTATAATTAAAATTATAAGGTTACTAAAATGATCTTCTAAAGGTGTTAGCCTTGTACCAACACTTTCATTGTAACAAATGAGGAAATCAGATCCCACAATCCATTTCAGCCAGCTATTGCACTGAGAACTCTTGGCTTCTGCTGCTTTTTCTGTGCTGGAGATGGAAACAGGGCCTCTTCCACTGAGCTACACCTCCAGCCCTGCTCTGTCTTTTCTTGAGCCTATATTTTTTGTCCAGGATATGGTAGTGTTATTTTTTATTATTGTTTGTTTGTTTTTGTTGGTCCCATGTTTTGTTTTGGGGAATGTAGTCTTATCATATAACCCTCACTGGCCTGGAACTCTACATAGACCAGGCTGGCCTTGAACTTAGAGGTAATCCTCTTTCTTCTGCCTCCTAAGTGCTGAAGTGCATGTCTCCACCATTTCTGGCTGGCAAGTGCTTTTATCATCATCCTATCATGTTGCTTTTAAAAACTATAAATGCTCAGAATATTTTGATGCCATGGTAACTGACTTAATCTCAGCAAAATCCCAGTAAGAATGGCCCTACCAGTCCTCACCTAACATGCCCTCTGCCTTGCTTAGAGTTTAGTTTTATAGGCAGAGATGGGGATTGAGCACTCACAGGACAAACCCTGTGACTTTTGATGTCTGGTTCTCTTAGGATGTAGTTCCAATTTAAGCATCTAAATGATTTATGACCATACAGATCAGGGGAGAAAAGCTACCTTTCTGAGTTACTAGGAAGGAAGTCAAGCTAGTGGAGTAGTGTAGAACAGATGGTGATGCTATTGGAAACTGTATGTGGGGCGGAAGATCATTTCTCAATGTGCACACATTCATTGATTGTCTGGCCTTAGGGCAGTCAGTGAGCTAGAGCCATGGAGCATATCCAAAGGACGTCTGTACCTTCAAGGAATTTAGATCAAAGCTGGGGTGGGCTCTGGATGTAGGAACAGAAGGATAAATCACAGCTGAAGGCAGTGTATGGAGAGGGTTGGTTGAGAGGCAGGAGTTGCAAAGCTGTTGGGATATGGAAGGGGGCCTGAATGTACAGCCAGGGTAATGTACCCAAGTTGGATGTGGAGCACAGAGATGCAGTTTCTCTCTCTCTCTCTCTCTCTCTCTCTCTCTCTCTCTCTCTCTTTCTCCCAAGCTTATTTTTGAGATGGGGGTCTCTCTTTGTTGCTCAGGCTGGCCCCAAGCTCCTGGGTTTAAGGTATCCCACTTTAACCTCTGGAGTAGCTGGGACTACAGGCACAAATACCACTGTACTGGGCTGGAAAGTCTCTTTTAGTGTTCTATTCATCTCTAGGATTTATTAATGAGAGGAATATCATCTTGGTTCAGAATGCCTTTTCCTTACCCTTGGGGCTAATTTTCTGGTGCTAGAGATGGAATCCAGAGCCTTGCATATTCTGGCCTTGTTCTCTGCCACTAAGTTGCCCTCTCAGTCCCTTCAGAACACCCTCAGTGGAATAAATTAAGACCATAAGAAGCTTTATATTCATGTTGGTTGGGGTTCACTGTTAAAAAAATGTTTAGGACATGTCAGATCTTGCTACAAAGTTATGAAAAAAAGAAAGCCTTCTAAACATGGCCTGGTGCCAAGTGTATAATCCCAGCTACTCAAGAGCCTAAGGTAGAAGGACACCAAGTTCAAGGTTTGCTTGAGCTAAAGGGTGAGTTCAAACCCAGTCTGGACTTAGGGAGATCATTCTCAAAATAAAAAGTAAAAAGAGAGTCTAGGATGGAGCTCAGTGGTAAAGCACTTGCCCCATACATGCAAGGCTCTAGATTCAATTCCCACTACAGCAGAAAAACAAAGCAAAATTAAAAACCCCTGGGTTTTGGAGCACATAGTTAGGGATGTAGACCTTTGGGTAATAAAGTAATAACAATAAGAGACAATGTTAAATAATAATGACATGTATTATCTGCCAGGCACTATTTTGAGCACTTACCTCTGTTCTCTCCTTTAATCTTCTAACAAACCTTTGAAGTAGGTCCTGTTTATTTTTGCTGGCTTGAAGAGAATAAAAGGAAGCCCAGAATAGTTAAGTAACTTGCTTCAGGTCACAGCTGGTAGGGACAGAAGGACACAAACTTGGGCATCCTGGCCTGGGTGCTGCATACTTCATCAGTGTGGTTCGGGGCAGCTCCAAAGTTCACTCTGATTAGTTATTCATTTTACTGAAATACAGAATGATATTTGAAGTCCTTAAGTGCATTGTCATGAGAAAGTGCAGAAGCAAGAGATGTGCCAATAAAGTGGAATCTGTTTGTTGTTGGTGGTGTGTGAGCGAATGTGTGTGTGTGTGTGTGTGTGTGTGTGTGTGTGCATGTGATTGTTCTGTATGTATCTGGTGTATGTATGTGTGCATGTGTATGAATGTAGGTGCACTCACCCATATGGGTACATGTGGAGGCCCAAGGTTGGTATTGGATGTCTTCAATTGCTTCACCTTAATTTTTTTCCCAAAATATCGAGGAAACTTTAAGCAAAACAATAGTACAGATCAGAAATATACTGTCAAGACTGATAGCAGGCTACATCCGTGAAATTACTCAAGGGCCTCTACCTCATTTTGTGAGGCAGGGTCTCTCATTGAACATGGAGCTTACCATTTCAATTAGACTATTGGCCAGTGAGCACCAGGGATCCTCCTGTCACTAGCCCCTAGTGATGGAGTTACAGGTCCATACTACCATGTCCATCTTTTATATAGGTGTTGGGGATCTGAACTCAGGTACTCTTGCTTTACCCACTGAATTGTCCCCCCAGCCCCAGAATCTGTTTCTTGTTTTTTATTAGCATATATTAGTTGTACAAAATGATGGGTTTCATTGTGATCTTTTCACACATTTATAGAATGTACTCTGGCCGTATTCATACCCCTTTATGCTTGCTTGTTCCCAACCCCCTTCCATTGGTTCCCTACCTCTTCCCAAGAAGTTCCCCTTTTACTTTCATATATAATCTTTTAATCTAGGTTTTGCATAGGAGAGGACTCTTTGTTTTCCAAGGGGTATAGTGTAAGGGAAGATGTGCTGTGTTTTCTAGCCGAACTGGCACAAAAGCCCAGTCTAAACCCACATTGCCCTGTGGCTTTCTTCCAGGGAAACGGATCTTGACAGTTGCTGTCATTGTACTGTGGTGTCAGGATGGAGGCCCCACTGGTGAGCCTGGATGAAGAATTTGAGGATCTGAGGCCCTGCTGCTCTGAGGATCCAGAGGAGAAGCCCCAGTGTCTCTATGGCTCATCTCCCCACCACCTGGAGGACCCCTCTCTCTCTGAGCTTGAGAATTTTTCTTCTGAAATAATCAGCTTCAAGTCCATGGAGGACCTTGTGAATGAATTTGATGAGAAGCTCAATGTCTGCTTTCGGAACTACAATGCCAAGACAGAGAACCTGGCTCCAGTGAAGAACCAGTTACAGATCCGAGAGGAGGAGGAGACTCTTCAGGATGAGGAGTAAGAAGCCTTAGCTACCCTCTCCTGCTTCAGACAAGAACCCGTAGGGCTCCTTGACCTAGAACTAGCTTCTGTTTACAGGTTTATGTGGTACAGAACTTACATTTTATGTTAGCAGTGGACAGTGCCCTAGTGACTGCTGACATTGTTCTCTGAATGCCTCTTTATAGTCACCTGGACAAAGCTCTCTAGGATTGAAACTTTAGAGGAATGAAGGATTTAGGTTTTCCTACATACAAAATAGAATATTAGAAGCAAGAAATTTTGGGGGTCTAGCCATATTTCTTCCTCCTCTCTCTCTTTCTCCTCTCCTCCTTCCCTCCCTCCCTCCCTCCTTTCTTCCTTCCTCCCTTCCTTTTCTTTCTTCCTTCTTTCTTTTTTAATATTTTATTTATTATTTTTATTTTATGTGTACGAGTGTATTGCCTGATCGTGTATGTGCACCTGTGTCATGCAACGCCTACAGAGTTCAGAAGAGGGCACTGGATCCCTTGGAACTGCAGTTACAGATGGTTGTTAGCCACCATGTGGGTACTGGGAATCGAACCCAGATCCTCTGCAAGAACAACCAGTGTTTTTAACCACTGAACCATCTCTCAACCTCTTCCTTCCTTCCTTCCTTCCTTCCTTCCTTCCTTCCTTCCTTTTCTTTCTCTCTCTCTCTTTCTTTTCTTTCTTTCTCCCTCCTTCCTTATCTCCCTCCCCATTTCTCTTTTTCTTTTTACATTTTATGTATGTATTTTGTGTGCATTTGTATATGTGTATAAGGCCTGCACATGTCATGATGCACATGTGGAGGTCGGAGGACAACTTCAGAGTCAGCTTTCACCTCCCACCACATGGGTCCCAGAGGTTGAACTTAGGTTATTAAGTTTGATGGGAGGCACCTTTACCCAGTGAAATATCTCTCTCTCTCTCTCTCTCTCTTCTCTCTCTCTCTCTCTCTCTCTCTCTCTCCAGCTTTCTTTATATCAATGGTAATCCTCCCAAATATTAAAAATAAGGACCAGAAAAAAATCAATTAACTGTGATGATCTATGTTACCTTACCAATTTGCTTCAAGAAACCCAAATTACAAAAATCTGAAAATTGTTTATAACTCCCAGACCTGGAACGTTATTCATAAATGTTAAGATATGTCCAAGTAAGACAGCTTCCACATTGAGCTGAGAGTCCTGGACAAAAGAAAGGTGAAAAGTAAGTGATGTGGTTTTTGAGTGCCTGAGCATATGTGCCCATGTTATTTCCTAGCCGCCTTCCAGGACCTTAAGAGTTGTGAAGGAAAACAATCTGAGGAAAGTCCTGTTGAGGAGGGACTAGAATGAGAAATGGGATAATGTGTTACATGAAGAAGGGAGGTTTAGGTCTGGAGATGCAGTGCAGTTGGTAGTGGGCTTACCCAGCATGCACAAAGCCCTGGATTTGATTCCCCAGTAACAACTAAACTGGATGTTGTGGCACATTCCTGTAATCCCAGCATTCTGGAGGTAGAGGTAGTAGGATCTGAAGTTCAAGGTCACCCTTGGCTACATAGCTGGTTTGAGACCAACTAGGATACATGGGATCTAGCCTAAAAAAAAAGTGTGGTGGGGTGGGGTGTTAAAGGTATTTTAGATATTTAGGGAAAACATCCATGAATTCCTGTAGAGACAAAATATGCATTAATGCTTCTTTAGAAACCACACAAAAAAAACATCAAATAGCTGGTTGTAGAAGTTAGGATCAATGTGCTTTGTTCCTTCCTACCCATGCTGCCTCTAACCCAGGGCTTTGAACATGCTAGGCAGCTGTTCCACCACAGAGCTGCTTCCCAGGCCCTCCTTTTCTGTTTGTAGGCTTGAATAGGAAGAATTGCCCATAAGTAAAAAGATAAGAGACACATTCTAGAGGATCCTGATGACATTTGGGCAGAGATGCTTATTTGATGATTTGGTAATAGCTGAGGCTGCCCCTCTGCATTCTGGAGCTACACCTATGTCTGTCTTCCTCTCTATTATCTCCCCTCTCTCTCCTATAGCGCCTAGTGTGTAGTAACTCATCAAATAATGTTTTTGAGTATTTTTGAATGAGCGGGGTGAGTAGTAATGACTAGCCTTTTAGGTCCATGTTTGTATTTCTAGCCACTCTTTACTTTAGTTAATGCTAGCCCGAGTTCAGGATTATAGAGAACATTTCACTCTGGTGACCAGAGCTATAGCTGTGGACTGTGTGCTTCAGTTCAATTGGATGTTTCCAACTGATTCTTTCAAAATCCTGAGCCGGTTATAATTTGCTGAACTTCTGTAAGTCAAAAAAGAAAGACTCTAGGGCTTTGTTATATAGAGTATATATTTTTTCATTTCAGTGCACCAGGCAGTGAACTAGAAACACAAAGACTATGAATTCTAATTTTCGTACTCTCACTAACTCTCTGTGTGACCTTGGACAAGTCATTCAACTTGTGTGGGTCCTCCAGAGCTCAATCTTGATGAAACAGGGCTAAGAAGTTGCAAAGGACCTGATTTCTTCCCTTACCCAGGACGTGCTCTGAAAATGGCATTTTAAAAAATGTGTTCCATTCCTATTGCATTACTTTCAACAAACTATTTCTCGGTGTCTAAAGCCCTCCTCTGCCTATTATGGGTGAAGGCCCAGTGAGCAGCTTCTTATTCTCTCCTGGCACATTAGCAGAGGCCGCTCAATGTTAATTACTGTCACATGGGATTGTGGGGCTTCCGAGAGGTTTTTCTGACTTGACTGCCTCATTGACTGCCTCAGCTGAGAGACTGAAGGTTAGAGAACAGTTTAGCCAGAGAAAGAGTAAGGAGGTGCAGTGTAGAGGGAGGAAGGAAAACCGACACTGCATTTTTTAGTCTGTAAAACTTAAATCAGAATTACCTTATGTCCTTTGTATTGCAGGCACTCTCTAGATCTAGCAATGAAAAAGGATGGCTTAAAACCTATCCCAGTGGCAAGCCTCCTCTAGCATTACTGTGATTACCTGCATGGGCTTAGTGCTTAGAGGGGTGTTTCACCCACAAATAAATTGGAAATACTTTGAGTGGGATTAGAGAAAAGTAGTAGAAGCATAAAATAAAGCAATTCTTGATTGGATGGAACAAAGAGAGACTGCAGTAATTAGCTTACAGGTCTTGATTTCTTTAGTTTGGAACTATTTAGCCAATAAGGAATCGGCTGGTTTGTCAGTGTAGCTCTGATTTCAGGGCATGGAGATTTTGGCATTAAAGGAGAGCCATGTAGGTATGGTGGCACACAGTTGTAATGCCAGGACTCAGGAGGCAGAAGCAGGAGGATCACAAATTAAAGGTCAGCATGGGCTACATAATCAGTTGGCCAGCCTGGGTTGTATGAGACTCTGTCTCAAAAAAAAAAAAAAATAAAGAGGTAATGGGCGGAAAAAAAAATGTGGGCCAACCTGGGTTGATTGAAAATTTTGTAAAAAAAAAAAAAAAAAAAAAAAAAAAAAAGATTAAAAAGACAGCCAAATTAAAATTATATATACACATATATGTATGTATGGATACTCTGGTTTTGAATTTATAAAATGTTCCAGAATCATCTCCCCTGCTCCTCCATCACCCACTTTCTCCTTCCCCTCCATCTCCTTCATTTCCTTCCCTTCTTTCTCCCTCTCCATTTCCTTCATCCCCCTTCCCTCCTCTTCCCTTTCCTTCTTGCCCTTCCCCATCCCCTCCTTGTCCTTTTAGTTTTTGAAACAGGATCTTTTTGTATACAACAAGTTGGACTTGAATCCTCTTGTCTCAGCCTCCTGAATGCTGGAATTACAGGCATACACTACCACACTGTGTCCAGAATCTCTTCTTTGTATATATGTGGTCATCCTGTTCCTTTGTTATAAATTCCTTTCTCTGAAATTTAGAACCTCTTAGAGGCTACTACATAATGAGAATGGAAAACTCAAACTAGGAATGGACAGCTCTCACCTCACTTCCTGTCGTATGGGGTCCTTCTCAGCCCTCTTACTCTACCAACAGGTCAAAAGATTAGGAGCAATAGCTGTTTCCTGTTCTTCAGATAGACTAGTGAACTAAAGATAACAATAAAAACCGAGTCCACACAATAAATGAGCTATAACCAGACATGCTTTAAGTGGAAGATAAACAGGGAAATCTAGTAGTTAACTGTATGTTTAAGAAAACTCAATTCTTGGGGCTGGAGAGATAGCTCAGTGGTTAAGAGCACTGCCACTCTTGTGGAGGACCTTGGTTCAGTTCCCAGCACCAACATGGAGACTAACAACTGTCCATAACTCCAGTTCCAGGGGATTGGATGCCCTCTTCTAACCTCCCAGGCATTTCATGCATGTGGTGCACTTACATCCACGTAGGCAAAATACTCCTGCACATAAAATGAAAGTTTAAGAAAAAAAAAAAATGCAATTCTCTTCTTAGAGATTTAATTTCCCCAAATAAAAGGCAGAACTAATGCTTATTCTGTTTAAATATTTGAGAGAATTGAAAAAACCATGCAAAAGCATTTGTACATTGATAATATCTAAATATGACCTACTGAGTATACTCATGTTAACACACATGCAAATGTGGGAATTGCATTACTGGACACAAGCAAAGCATTAAATGAGGGGAATAGCTGACTGAGGGGCAATTATGGGGTCTGTTACCAAATTGGAAGTTAAGCTGCCTATCATATTATCAGACTGAGTGTATAGATGTGTATGTGTGCACGTGTAATTTATGCATCAGCATTCATGTAGCTTTAATGGTATGCTGTTTCAGGCTTACAACTTGTACACTTATTTTGGTACGGTCCACTCCATTGGGTTTGCTTGTCCTTGGCCAGTATCTTTTCTTCCCCCACATTCTCATCCACCACAGTAAAAGATAATTTAATTGATTGATTCTAAGGCACCTAGCCCAAGCTACAAAATATGAATATGAAGGGCTGGAGAGATGGCTCAGAGGTTAAGAGCACTGAACCTGCATTCAGTTCCCAGTACCCACATGGCAGCTAACAACTATCTGGAACCTCAGTTCTAGGGGCTCCAATGCCCTCTTTTGGACTCCATGGGCATTGTACACATGGGTGCACCTACATACATGCAGACAAAATACTCGTACACATAGAAGGAAAATAATGAAACAAACAAAAAATTTAAAAGTATGCACATGAAAGCCATGTATGCTGGCTCATTCCTATGATCCCAGTACTTAGGAAAATTGCCACTAGTTCCAGGTTAGCCTGGGCCTCAGAAACCCAGTAGGAAAGAAATATGCAGATGAAGAGCCTTTTCTCTGATCACAGGGAACAAGAGCACAAATTGAATCACAGGTGCCATGGCATTATAATGGTAAGAGCTGAGGTAACCTATCTAATCCTGCTTATTTGATAAACAATAGTAAAAGGAGTTTGAAAAGTCTTCCTGCTTGAATGGGAGAAGAATCTGGATGTCACATCTGTCACCCCACTGATCACCAGGGTTATTTCAGCTGACCTAGTTGATCTAGCAAGTGTTTCTTTCCTCCCTCACCATTTCATGTGAGTCCCTCCAGAAACTGGCAGTCAGTCAGTCAAAGAGGAGGACCTTCCCTGACAGAGAAAGACTGAGGAATACTTTTCTTTGATCAAGGGTCTACAAATTAATTGCACTCTACTGCTAGAGTCTCCAAACAGGCAACATCTCCCTTCTCCAAGATAAGAGTAAACAGTAGAATGCTTCCCAGAGGTTTTATTTTATTTATTTATTATTTATTTATTTATTTATTTATTTAACTGGAGAAGGAACCTAGGACCTTGTACATATGAGACAAATGATTAACTACTGAGCTACATCCCCATTCCTGAGAAATGAGATTTTAAATCTCAGAGTAGCTGGGCATGGTGTTACATACCTTTAATCCAGTAGAGACAGGTAGAGTTCTATAAGTTCCAAGTCAGCGAGAGCTTCATAATGAGACCATGTCTTAAATAGGCAAACAAACAAACAAGCAAATAAACATAAAGCAAAAACCCCAAGATACTTATAAAAAGGGATCTAGCTACTCCCAAGAGCCCTGCTTAGGATGAGATCATCTCGTGAAGGAAAGCCCCTTTCGTTCTCTTCCATACAGAAAGCTTTTTCCTCTCCCACCCCTGGCTTCTCCATTCCTGGGACTGCCTGCCTACAATGTGCTGCATTTGCTTCTGTGGATCCTCCTCCGGGTTGGAGACCCAGACAGAAGGCATTGCACACTCTATTTCCCCAGCCAGAATGATGTCAGTGTGGACTTTGTACATAGTCAGTGTCTAAATTGCTTCTCCAGCTTGTGATTTGAAACTCGGTATGTTATTCTGATGCTCATAACAATACCAATCATATGGTGAATCATAAAGAGTTGGAATTGTGGGTAGGAATAGAGGCTCTGTTGCTGTACTGCCTATGTTGCAAGGCAACCTCTGCCATTACGACTGGTTGTATGAACTTGGACAATGTCATTACCGTCACTGTTTTTCCCATAAGCAGCTGCTTTGTGAGTTGTGAGAAATGAATGCATCCATCCTCACAGAGAACTTAGAAGGGCACTTGGCTCAGTAAGTGCTTAGTAAGTGTGGACTGCTGTTGTTATTGGTAACTGGTGCTGAGTAAATACGGGAAGACTATGCAAGAGACAGGAGCAGTTTTGTCTTAAAGTCATTCACAAACTTGGAAGGATAAAAAGAAAGAAGAAATGAGAGAGAGGAAACGAGGGTGGTTTGAAATACTGAAGGCGTAAAGATTTAGGGAGCTGCATAGCGTTAGCATGAAAATTCAGAGTATGTCAGTAGGGTTCAGGGGAGAAAATGCCCAGTTGTCACTTTCAGGACATAAGCGGTCTCAAGGTCATCAGAAGGTCCCAGCTTCCCTCTGGGAACAAAAGATACTGCCTATTTGGGGCTTTGCTGAATCTCACCTTTCCAGAACTTTCTATAGGGACAAAGCTGAAGGTCAGTTCCTGCATGCATGTCCGTTCCCAAAGCAGGAATGTAACAGTCCCATGACCTTTCCAGTGGGCTTGGTGGTTGAAGCTTTTTCTAGGAGTTAGTAAATAATATTTGTCTCTTGGCTCCACAATGCCAGTGGGACTTGGATTTTGATACAGTTTTAATAGTACCTAGTGGAGATTGGGATAGCAAAAACACTGGGATATTAAGAAGCAGGCTCCGGGGCTCGGGGGGTGGTTCAGCAGGTGAAGTGCTTGCTGCACAAGCATGAGGGATTGAGTTCGGATCCCTAGGACCCACATAAAAATCTGGGAGCAGTGGCAAAACACATCTGTAATGCTGGCGTTGGAGGGGCAGGGACAGATTCAGCAAGAGACCTTTGTCTCAAAGATGAAGCAGAGAGTAACAGAAGATACCTGAAGCCATTTGGCTTCCACAAGCTCACATACAATGTGAACTCCCATGTATACATACATGCAGGCACACACAAACACACATGCACACACACACACACACACACACACACACATGCACATGCCTTCCCCACCCCACCCCCAAATAAAAGAAGCAGACTCTTAATAGCTAGCTGTCTCGTGAGCACTTGACTTAGTAATCTCAAAGTGTTCTCATGTGTGGTAGAAAAATCAAAAGTGGAAGGCTCAACACTATCAATAAATTGTTTTCTTGAGTTTCTTTTATTTAATTACCAGTTACATATATTATTTAGCATGAAAATCACTTTTCTTCTATACCCATATATCATGTACCGTTCCTGATTTTATGTCAATAAAATCTGCCATATACCTTATTGTCATGTATCTGATTTCAAGTGTCTATGCTCAGGTTATCTATTATCTACCTATATATCTATCCAAATATTTTACACTTATCTTTTCATCTTATAACATACACTTGGTCCATATACATATTTGCCCATTTTTAAATAGCTATTTTCTTAGATTAGTATATTTAAATGGGATATACGCTCTCATATTTTGTTATTACAGGTATCACTCATATTTGGTATGCACAGGTACCTACTTTGTTACATAAAGCCTTCATTTATCATTAGCTAATGGTGGCTTAAAGTCTTCTGGCTTCCATGGCTGACAGTTCTTGGTTTATTGATTTACATTAATTTCTTGGTGCCTACTAATTTATTCATTTTACAGATATATGTTTGTAACTTCAGAATTTTCCTTCAAACCTTCTTCCCCCCCGCACCCCCCACTAGGACAGTGCTTTACCACTGAGCTACATCCTTGGTCCTCAGTCCTCTTTTTGTCAAAAAAGTTGTTCTGAAATAAAGTGATAAGGATAGTAAGAAACCCTACTTATACATATCAGAATCAAAAAGAAACGTAACAAAAGTAACCTCATTTTCTTCCACTAAAAACTAATTGTGTGTGTGTGTGTGTGTGTGTGTGTGTGTGTATATATATATCAAAAAATTTTTTCTTGAGGCAGTGTCTCACTGTGTAGTCCTGGCTAGCCGAGGAACTCAGTATGTAGAGCAGGTTAGCCGTGAACTTTGCTTGTTTCTGTCTCCACGTCCAGCCTGTTTTATATATTTACCTTAAATAGTATCCCTTATGGAGACATTTTCTACATCTACATTAGATGTCAAGGAGTGGATTCCTGATAATAGGTAGTAAGACTCTGAGGTTGAAATATGTCACCCTAATCTTAAAGAGACTGAGCCAGGATATCTGCTCAATCTTTTCACCTTCTGTTTCAGCCCATAGGAAAGGAACAGGGGTACTTCTGAGGTTCAGAAATAAACTGGTTGGGGTCCTTATCTGTATTTCCATTTCGAATCAAGAAGCAAATACCTTTCCTGCTGAAGCCCCTGGGTGGGCCCATGCTCTTGGCTTTCTCTCCTGGATATGCCTCTAATTCCACGTTTCAGCTGCTGCCCCTGCTTGCTGGAAGGCAGATGACCTCAGCCTGGCACACACAGCAGCCTCTCTTCTTCCTGGCCCAGCTCTTTTCTCCAGGCGGGGCCAGGCCACAGATGTGTGCTAATGAGAGCTTCTTTTTGTTTACAGGGTTTGGGATGCACTGACAGACAATTACATCCCTTCACTCTCAGAAGACTGGAGGGACCCAAACATTGAGGCTCTGAATGGCAACAACTCTGACACGGAGGTACCTCTCTGGAGCCCCCTGCTTAGTCAGGATTGGGAAGACATGGAATCCAGCTAGAAAAACATTCAACAGCTCAACAGTCTTCTGCAGCAATAGTTCAGAACCATTGTTGGGAATGTAGGGGCACCAGATTCAATGGGTCTGACAAGCTGTTGAGGGAGAAGGACATCCAGTATTTCTGAGGGAATTGGGATGGTTATACGTAAGAAGAGTAATAACAGATACCTCCAACCCTCCCACCCTGCCTCCTCCTCCCCTTTGTGATGCTGGGGATAGAAACCAGGGCCTTGCACATGCTAAGCATACCTGCCATTGCTGAGCTGTACTCCCACCCCTCAACATGACTTCTGCTGATCTGGGTGCTGCCTTCTGCAGAATAAGGTGGAGAAGAGTGACTTCTATTGTTCAGATGACAGTTAAAAAATATCAGGTAGCCAGGCATGCTGGTGCACACCTGTAGTCCCAGCACTCAGGAGACTGAGGGAGGTGGATTGCCATGAGTTTGAGGCAAAACTGGACTACAGAATGTGATGTTGTTTAAACAAACAAACATTTAGAAAAAAATCAGGTTTTCCTGCTAGAGAGATGGCTCAGCAGTTAAGAACACTGACTGCTCTTGCAGAGGACCCAGGTTCCCAGCACTCACAATGTATGGTTCAAACTGCCTACAACTCCAGCTCCAGAGGATCTGACACATTCTTTTGGTCTCTGTGGGGTCATTCACACACACACACACACACACACACACACACACACACACACACACAATTTAAGAGAAAGAAGGAAGGAAGGAAGAAGGAAAGAAAGAGAGGTTGGCTACTAATTTTGAGTTGACTGTGTAGCCTATGAGGAATGGCCTCTCAGAAGACCCAGACTGTCCCTCTTGGCTGAATATATATACAATGTATTTTAGTCAGTATAACAGAATATCTCTGAAAGAGTGACCTTCAAGCTACAGACACTTATTTCCCACAGTTCTAGACTGGAAGTCTAAGATCAAGGTGCTGACAGATTCCAAGTTTTGTGAGGGCTCAATTCCTCTTTATAGACAGCACCTCTTGTGAGGTCCTCACATGGTAGAAGGGACAAACAAGGTCCTTTGGACTTCTTTTATAAGAAATTCATTCCATTGATGTGGGCTCCATCCTGAAGCCTCCCAAATGTGCTGCCTCCAGTATTACTTTGGAGGTCAGAATTTCAACAAAAGTATTAGGGGATAGGAGGTGGGAGGACACCCACAAACACTCAGCCTATAACAAAAGGTAAGTTAATGTCTCTGTCCAAATTAAAAGATAATGTCTGTCTTGCGTAGTTTTCTAGTTTCAGTTATGAAGGGAATCTGACAATTCAGTGTCATGAAGGGCTGGCACAACCCTGTGGAGCCAGCAGATGAAGAATGACATCTTCCCAGGTGCTCCAGAACTGGTTCCTAGTAAAAGAGCAGGAAACAAATTCCCCTGACTGGGCAGTATATATGCAGATTACTGCTCAAAATAGTACAGCAAAAAGATCAGCATTCAGCTGACTTATTGAAAAAGTGGCTGTGTGTCCTTACATTTTCTAATCATGAACAATTGAAAAGACTCAGGATCTCAAGGTTTTGTTGAAGGTAAGACAGTGACCTTGAGGCTAGGAGTTACTACAGTCCTGTTTAACACTGATGCAGAGCCTGGGTCTCAGGTCCTCTTTTGAACTCCTCTCTGTGCATTTTCTCTTGCCTCAGGTGTAAGCATGGTGTCTAGTACTTAACCCAAAATTCAAGGGAGAAGGGGGCAATAATGGAGTGAATCTAGTTATGGAAATGAATCAGGTCTGTCATGATGCAAGAGGCAGGTTTCACTCTGTTATCTCCTTGGGTTTGCAGATTTCCCTCCAGAGGGCTAATAGTTCTGGATGAATTGAGAGACTCAGGAAAGGATGATCTTGAGCTCTGCTCAGTGGGGTTTTTCTTATCTAACGCCCAGGAAAAGGAAGGTGGATGGAGGAAGACTGTTTTATTTTTATGTTGGCTAGTGCTCTGAATTCCTCCTGCAAGCCAAACCAACCAAGACCTGTGGCCTGGTGCATGCACACAGCTGGGTGGTCTCACTGAATGGACCTTTATAACTTCCACTTTTCAGACATTGACAAAAACCAGTTGTTTGTTCCCCAGCCTGCTTATGTTTGTCTTTGGGACTACAAATAAGTAATTGAGTTAAATATTACATACACTGTTGAATTGTGACTGCAAGGAGCATCATTTTGGCTTTGTTAAAATCAAGGTAGCACATGTGTATAGTGTAAAAAAGATCAAATGATAGCTCAGCAGTTAAGACCATTGGCTGCTCTGCAGAGGACCCAGGTTCGATTCCCAGCACACACATGGTAGCTAACAACCATCTGTAACTCCAGTTCTAGAGCAATCCGACGTTCTTTTCTGACCTCCATGGGCATTGCATGACACAGGCACACTTATGAAATGCAGGCATTATACTCATACACATAAAATAAAAAAATTATATATATATATATATATATTTGTCTTTTTGAGACAGGGTCTCCCTATAGCCCCAGCTGTCCTGAAACTCACTATGTAGACCAGACTGGCCATGAACTTACAGAGATCCACCTGCCTCTGCCTTCTGAATGCTGGGATTAAAGATTTGCACCACCACACCTGGTTTATAAAAAAATATTTTTAATGTTTTGGTTGTTAGCCTCAGCCTTTAACAGATGCATTATTCCTCCAGCCCCAAAAAATATTTTTTAAAAAATCTAAGTGCTTTGCATTGTCTCTCCTCACTGTGTAGTAGCAACTGCTTTTTATATTTTATTCATTCATTCATTCGTTTATTCAGTGCTGAGAATTGACCCTGGAGCCTTGTGCATGCCAGGGAAATGCTCTACTTCTGAGCTACACCTCTAATTCTACCTTTATTTCTTTTTATTTTTGACCTAGTTAATTAATTAATTTGAGGCAGGGTCTCACTCTGTAGCCCAGACTGGCCTGCAACTCTGTAACCTAGGCTGACCTAGAACTCATTCTATAGCTCAGGCTAGACTTGAACTCATGGCAATCCTTCAACCTCAGCTTCTTTAGTGCAGGGGTTGCATGCATGTTCCACCATACCCAGCCTTTTATTTATTTTAGGTGCTTTTGTTTCATTATTACATACAGATCCACTCTTGTGATAGAACACTTATATTGTATTTCCTTGGTTTTTAAAAATTAACCAGTTTGGGGCCTGGATAAAGCTCAGTGGTATGAGCATGTGCTTAGCATGCTTGAGGCCCTGGGTTCAACTGTTAGCACCAAAAAGTAAATTTAAATATATTTAGCTTTGGGAGCTGGAGGGATGGCTCAGCTGTTAAGAATGCTTGCAATTCTTCCAGAGGACTTGAGTTCAGTTCCAGGCACCCACATCAGGCAGCTTACAAATTCCTATAGCTCTAGCTCCAGGGGATCTGATGACCTCTTTTGGCTTCTGAGGCCACTTGCATGCACACACACACACACACACACACACACACACACACACACACACACCCTAAATAAAGATAAAATAAATCTTTTTAAAAATCAGTTTTGAAGGCCGGGTGTGGTGGCACACACCTTTAATCCCAGCACTTGGGAAGCAGAAGCAGGCAGATCTTTGTGAGTTCGAGGCCAGCCTGGTCTACATAGTGCATTCTAGGACAGCTGGGGCTACAGGGAGACCCTGTCTGAAAAAGACCCAGAAAATTATTTACTTATTTTAATTTTGTGTATATGAATGTTTTGCCTGCATGTATGCAAGTTCACCTGTGTTGTGCAATGCCCACAAAGGCCAGAAGAGGACACTGGATCCCCTGGAACTGGAGTTATGAATGGTTGTTAACCACGATGTGGGTGCTGGGAACTGTACCCAGATCTTGATTTGGCTAGACTGACTGGCCAACAAGCCCTAGTAACCCTCCTGTCTCTGCCTCCCCAGCATCGGGATAACAGTTGTGCACTGGTGCACTTGGCTTTCTTCATGAGTGTGGGTAGCCAAACTCAAGTCCTCATGCTTGTGTGAGAGATACTTTACCAACTGAGCCATGCCCTTAGCCCCACCCCCAGCTTTGCATGTTGAGAGATGGAGATTTCATTCTTTTATACCTCTCCAATACTCACCCCCCCCCATAAGATAGGGTTGTCACTATTTATAGTTAATTCAATGTTAAAATATGTGCCCTATTGTAATTATGTATGTACTATTTCTGGCTGAATCATATACTGTTCTATAAAAATATTCCTTTCCAATAAACTTTTTAGTTTATGCTAGAGTTAAGAATTACCTCTTTTGGGCTGGAGAAATGGCTCACTGCTTAAGAGCACTGGCTGCTCTTGCAGAGAACCCTAGTTCAGTCCCCAGAACCCATATGACAGCTAATAACTGTCTGTAACTCCAGTTCCAGGGAATCATATTACCTCTTCTGACCTCCATGGGCATTGCATGACATGGGTGCATTTACATACATTCATACACATAAAATATATAATAAAATTAAAAAAGAATTACCTCTTTTTTGAGATTTCATTTTTGTAACTCAATTGTATGGTTTTTGTTTGTTTGTTTGGTTGGTTGGTTTTTTTTTTTTTTTTTTTTTTTGGTCTTCTTGAGACAGGGTCTCCCTGTAGCCCCAGCTGTCCTGGAACTCACTATGTAGACCAGGCTGGCCTTGAACTCACAGAGATTCGCCTGCCTCTGCCTCCCGAGTGCTGGGATTAAAGGCATGCGCCACCACGCCCCGCAATGGTACGGTTTTTAAAAAAAGTTTTATCGGGGCAGGAGAGATAACCCAGCGGTTAAGAACACTGACTCTTCTTGCAGAAGACCTAGGTTCGAATCCCAGCACCCACATGGCAGCTAACAACTGTCCGTAACTCCAGTTCCAGGGGATCCAACAGCCTCTTCTCTCCTCTGTGAGCATTGCATGGCACAGGTACACTTATCTACATACAGGCAATACATGCATACACATAAAATAAAAATAAT